AATATATTTTTTTCATTAATTGTGGCAGTTGGAACCTCCATATTTTATGTATTTTTTAACTAATATTTAAATTTGAATTTATTCCATTTTTCGTAAATTGTGCATGTTAAAACAATCATAGTTTCCGTAATTTTGAACCAATATTTAATTGAATTTATTCAGTTTTTTTTTGTAAATTGTGGCAGATTAAAACTTCCGCAATCACACTTTAAAACCGACGTAATTAGCTTATTTTAGTTTCTGTTTGAAATTTTAAAATTGTTCTGCACTTTTTAAATCAAGTATGTGTTTACCTGATTTAAGAAATGTTGTGCATAATGCAGAATTATGTCTTTTCATAAACCTTTATCATTCTAAACTATTGCAAACTTTCATGGAAATGTCTCAAATTTTTGCATCAATCCATAGAAGTTTTTTAGGATGTATTTAAGGCCAAATACATTAGTTTTCAAGTCACCTCTTTCATATAAAATTCACGTACAATTCAAACAATTTTAAAGTTTTCATACATCATAAAACAATGAAACTTTGTGCATAAACTTTCATATCATTGAAAAAGTTTCATTCAAATTTCTGAGCACTTATGGTTCATATATTATTGAATTGTACATTGAAAGAGAAGATCAATTGTCTATTAAAATTGATTCAAAAAAAACTTCATGTATTCAAATTTGTTCAAGTATTATAACTGATTATCAAGTGTGTGGTGTCTTAATTTGGAAATAAAATGTGTGTACATTCTAAAAGTGTTTGGAAATAGAAGGATGCATAATTTCAGTTTGTGCTTTAAATGGTTCATTGATTCGGGGAGATTCAAAGTCAACCCTAGTGTGGGTGTTTGTGAAAAGGTTATTTAAATTGGTTGATTCAAAGTCCACCACATGCTTGGAGTTTATGTTAGAAGATTGTAAGAGGGGTCTTGGTGTGAGGAATGTACAAAGATCTAATATAGTGGAAAATCCTTCAAGGTGTGAAAGGACTAGATTTACCCTTAAGTTGGAAAGGGGAAATAGGCTAAACCCCTTGTGGCATTTACATTTATATCATTTATTTTTCTGTGTTTTTATTCTTAGTTCATCATTGTATTTTCGAAAAAATGAAAGAAAAGAACATATGCAGAATAACGAGAAAAATTCATAAAACTTAATTCACCACCCTCTTAGGTTGCACTATATAGTTACCTGAATTTGATCTACTTCTGCTTTTGGAGAAGCGAAGTCTCTCTTATGGGATTGGGAGTATTAAGTGTCAGAACAACAATGTTGGTGTTACTTTGTGTGTTTAGTCGAGCGGGCTTAGATGCTGCCATAGTTTGCATAAAATCCACCAAACGCCAGAGTAGAAAGATGACCGGTTAAAACAAATGAGTGGTAAAAAGGCGATCATTTTCATGAAAATTTGAGGGAATCCGTGGTCATTTTCACAAACGACACCACTATTCTGTGGTGGAAGGAGAAAAAAGAGGTGTTGGAAGGACGAGCTCTTCCGATGCAATGATGAGAACTTCAAGTATAACGGAGTGAGGTGAATCTGCAAGGCTAGGACTTCAACGCTCAAAATAGTAAAAAGAGATGTAGTTTGAAAATAAAAGTGATATAATACTTGTAAGCAATGTGTGGTAGGACTTATATATGACCGACAATTAAAACCTAATACGCAGTGTATAATGTAAAAAGTAGAGTTTGATCACATCTACAAATAGACAATATATAAGTAGATGAAATCAGATTTCCAACCTTTTGATGAGATCCTATCTATAAGGATGAACATCATTACCAACACGATATGTATGTGCCCCCACTTAATATTTATTTTTCTGTAGTACTACCATGTGTTTCAAATGTTATAGATAGTGTAATAATGCAAAACTATAATGTATATGCAACTATTAAAAACCATATGTATGAGAAAATATACCATTTATAACATATATATTCTTTTCTATTTTATATTTCTTTTCTTTATTTGTTATTTTTAAATATAATACATAGTATTTTAATTAATAAAATATTTACATATTTATTTTGTTTTCTTAATTTGAAAAAAATTATAAATTAACATATAATATTGCCTCTATTACATAAATTTTCTACCTCGGTCACTACCTATCTATCCTTCTTTCTACAACGTTAAATCTTCTTAATTGAATCTTAAGATTTGACCTTCTTTAAACTGCCTCGAAGCATAACATAAATGCAAAAAAGAATATAATTATAGGTTTAAATAGTGTGTTGGTCCCGGTAAGTTAGCGAGCTTTTGATTTTGATCTATCTAATTTATTATTTTTGGTCTGAGTCTCTCTGTCTCACTTTTTGAGTATGATTTAGTCCATAAAACCAATATCTTCAGGAAAATCCGCAAGTTTTCTGCGGATTTTCCTTCAGACTTTCCTGCGGATTTTGATCTTAAAACTAAGGGACTAAATTTAAAAACTCGCTAACTTGCTGGTACCAAAAATATATTTAAACCATAATTATATACTCTCTCTATTACACAATGAGTGACACAGTTGATTTTTCACACAGATTAAAAAAATGAATAAATGAATAAGAGAGTGTGACATTTTTACTAAAATATCCTTATGATGTATTGGAAATGATGAAAGTAGTACTCTCTCTGTTCCTTTTTAAATGTCATTTTTTTTCTTTTTACACATACCAATAAAACAAATTAATATTGTTACTTTCCAAATCATAATTCTCCTTTTATTTATAATGTCTTTAGTTATTTATTACATTCATTTTACTTTTTCTCTCTCTGCAATAAATATATTGGAGTAATTTTAACAAAAATACAATTAATACTTTCTTAAATTTTATAATTAAAAAAAACAAAAAATTATCATAATAGTGACACTTAAAAAAGACAGAAAAAGCATTAATTAAAGAATAAAATAAAAAAATATATTAAAAATTGAAATAAATTATATATTTTAAAATATTGTTTTATTTTAAATGAGTCACTTTAGTGTGAAATGAAGAAAGTATCGTTGTTAAATAAATTTTTTGTAACAATCAACCAAGTGAAATCCTGTCAGAAGTTCCTACCTACTACACAAATACGACAATCAATGTTTTCTAACATTGGCCGGATTGTAGACATGGCAAGATTAGAACCGTCCATCTCAACTACCTCCAAAATCTAAGGTTTATATTTACATATACCAACTTGCATAGATATTGTCTTGTTGCAAACAAATGCAATAGAAAAGTCCCATCGTTCTACTATTAATTAAATTAAATACAAATAACTTTTTTATCAAATAATTTAGTTACTCAGATTTATTTTATTAATATGAATAAATGGAAATTTATTTTTGTAAGATGAATAAATAAGAGGTAGCAAATTTAATCCGCATTTTTCATTTAATATTTTTCTACAACTATTAATTTAATTGATTTAACCAAATTATACAAACAAAACTTTAAGACTACAACAAAAAACAAAAAATCAAAATCAAAATAATATTAATTTTGTGGAGAAAAACATTACACGTGTATATGTAAAGAAACAACCCATGGTAGTGCATTCACTGCATTGATTGGAGACTAAGAGGCTGTTTGAAACACTTTTAATTTTTAATTTTCAAAAATTATATTACAAATTAGTTTTAAAAAAAGGAATTATAAAAAAATCTGTTTGCTAATATAATTTTTTTAAACTGTTTTACAAATGAGAAAATAAAAAACTTGTTTGATAGTTTTGTTTTTAAAATATGGTTTGTTAACTTGAATATTTTTTCTTTCCACATAATACATAAATATTTTAAAAAGGGAAATTATATTAATTTAATAAATATTTAAATAGAAAACTAATGTTAACTCAATTATTTTATTTTATTAAAAAACATAAACACATAAATGTAAATTACATATTTACAAGCAAGAAATCATGTATTTAATAATAATTAAATGAAATTAATTGGCAGTATGTGGATTAATGTTGGTCATTATTTTATAAACAATGATTCTAAAAAGAATTTTTAAAAAGAATTTTGTAAAATAGTAGATCCAAACAAGTTTTTTTTTTTAATTCTTAAAAACTAAAATACAATTTTTGAAAACTAATTCAAACAGTCCATAAATTTGCGTAGGAAAGTAGAGGCTGAAAATATATTTTCAGATAGACTCTTTATTTGTAGGAATATTATTTTATATTATTTTGTTCGAATTATTAACTAATTTTATAAAAAGAGCCTTATACTATTTTTTTTCTTTGCTAATATGTCATCATCACCTTTATATGAGCAAAAATATTGGAGAGAAGACTCATCTCTCTTTTACTCCGGTTCCATCAGGATTATATGCATTTTGATCTTTGAAAAAAAAATTATTCCTTTTTAAAAACTTTTTTAAAATAAAAAAAATATATTCATTATTTTATTTCATAAAAAATATCTCTCGATAAATAAAAAATATTAAAAGAATAATTATTTACCCAATTTTTTTTCTTTTATTTTTTTGTTAAGTTGAAAATGAAATAAACTGATATATAATAAATGAATAATTTTTTTCTTTCTAAATAGTTAATTCATTTTTAAATAATTTTCTATTTTAATTTTTAATATAATATTAATTACTTAATATAATTATAATCAATACCATCATCTATATTATTTTTAATTTAATATCTTTTCTCCACATATATACAAATGTAAATACAATAATACACACTAAGAATATTTTAATCATGTGAATTTTTCAAATAAAATATAAGAATAAAACACTTTAAATATATAATAATAAAAATTTAAAATTGAAATACTTATTTTTACAGTTTCTAATATTGAAATAGTTACTATTAATATTTACTAGATAGTAAAAAAAAGTTATTTAATAGTGGTGGAAAGTCACAACAAAAACATAAATACTCTTTTAACTTTCGTTAGGTAGTTGAGATATTCAATTTTCTATAAATTCTAGCATTTGAGAAATCACTACAATAAATCAACACAACAAACAAACAAAGAAAAAGCTCTTTCAAATCTCAAAAAACCAACAATGGAGGTCCTAAGAGTACAAACAATAGCTCATCAATCCAAAGACTCATCAATCCCCTCCATGTTCGTCCGAGCAGAAAACGAACAACCGGGAATAACAACCGTCCCCGGTGTCAAACTCGAGGTGCCGATAATCGATTTCAGCAATTCAGATGGAGAAATATTACAAAGCAAGATAATGGAAGCGAGTAAAGAGTGGGGAATGTTTCAAATTGTGAACCATGAGATTCCAAATGATGTTATAAAAAAACTACAAAGTGTTGGTAAAGAGTTCTTTGAGTTACCACAAGAAGAAAAAGAGGTTATTGCTAAACCTGTTGGGTCGAATTCAATTGAAGGGTATGGTACCAATCTTCAGAAAGATGTGAATGGGAAGAAAGGTTGGGTGGATCATTTGTTTCATATTATTTGGCCACCTTCTTCTGTTAATTATCGTGTTTGGCCTAACAAACCTGCTTCTTACAGGTAAATAGGTTTAATTTCAAGATAATGTTATTTTAGTTATGGGAAAATTACACTAATCTCTTATTACAATGACATCGGCACTTCTCTAAATTGACACTTACACATAGATAATACTCCATCTATCATTTAATGACTAAAATTTATATAAATTACACTAAAATTTATATATATATATATATATATATATATATATATATATATATATATATATATATATATATATATATATATATATATATATATATATATATATATATATATATATATATATATATATATATATATATATATATATATATATATATATATATATATATATATATATATATATATATATATATATATATATATATATATATATATATATATATATATATATATATATATATATATATATATATATATATATATATATATATATATATATATATATATATATATATATATATATATATATATATATATATATTAGTGTCAATCTTTTATCATCAATTATATAGTAGTTAGTTAGTTAAATTTGATTGTTAGTTTATTGATACACAATTACCATGCTTATTATGAGTTTGAGCTGCTGTTCACCGTATTTCTATCAGGTAAAGTGTTAATTAGTTAAAAAAATAATTATGTTTCAAAAATATAATATTTACATAAATAATAGTATTAAACTAAACTAATAATATTTATGAAAATAAAATTAATAATATCCCGTGATAATATATATTTAAAAGAGTGTTTTTCAGTTTCCAAAAACTATCATGAAAGTTGATTAGATCTGAGTATTTTTCATAAAAATAAAAATAAAAATTAGTTTTATACAAATTTTCAATTTTATAGTTTTTTTTTTCTTACACGCTCATTTTATTTGCAATCTTGTACAAGATATTAAATGGAGTAAATTATAACATTTGTACAAAATGAATTAATTGGTTAAATTTTCATAAGCTTTTTCTTAATTAATTATGTTATATTTTAATATAATAATTCTTGAGAAGATACATGGCACCGCTCTTCTCATGACGTACTATGGGATAATATTCGAATTCTCACAACCTTTAAAAATGGAGTTTGTAAAGTTGAGCTGTTCTTATCTTATCTTACATTTATTAACCCTCCATCTGTATGTGACAAAACGGATTGTTGGCTCCACAGATAAATGAAATTGAAATTGGACTTAGTCTGTTCCGTCAATGTAACGTAGACGACGGGTTTGCTGTTTATTTTTTTTCTAAAAAATTCTTTATTTTTCTAGTAGATTAAAAAACTTTTTTTACATTTCAATTTAAAATCATCAAATCAACAATTAGAAAGTATAAAATAAAATGACAATTAAAAGTTTAAGATTATAAAAAAATTTCACTTAAAATAAAATCATCAAAAACAAGAGTTTTAAAATTATTATTCAAATAATAATATTTAATCAATTAAAATAAATATTTTGATTGCTTGATAACTAATCCGTCTTTTTTTTTTTTTTTGACAAACTTAAAATAAAAGAGACAGAGCGGATAAACAATTATAAAATTTCAATCTAATTTACTATTTTTTAATAGTTACATAGATTGGTCTGACGGGTTATGATTCATTTTACCCACTCAGATAGTTCAAAACCAATATTTATGGTTTCTTTGGATAGGTAAAATGTGTTGAAATGAATGAAAACATTAAGTTCAATCAAACAAAAGTAATAAAGATATGAAAATAAAAATGTCCATTATTATTTAATGATTTTGACAATTAGTGTACATACGGTTTGAATTTATTAATAAGAGGTTGGTGTGTGTTAGTGCACGTCAACACAATTACAAATTTAATTGAAAATTTGTACATAGAGGGGAAAAAAAAGGAAATGTCGCAATCGACATCTCAAGAAATGCATTCCAACAACATGTGAATGGTTGGGTCAAAAATAAAAAAACATGTGAATGATGCAATGAAAGGCTTATATTAGTAGTAACCAACAATGTTAAAACGCTGACGTGCATGCTTCTTTAGCTAAATAAAGGTTCCTCTCTTCCTTGCCTCTAACTATTACCTAAAAAATACTGTAATAGTTAAAATGTAGCTAAAAGAAAATATTTATTTATTTTATTATGATTAAATTTTAGCTAACTTACACAAAAAATTTAAAAATTTGAGATGACTCCGTCAATTTTTTATATTCATTTGACCTTTTTTTTCCGACAGGGAGGTGAATGAGGAATATGGGAAATATCTACGGGGAGTGACGGACAAACTATTCAAAAGCCTATCAGTTGGGCTTGGGCTTGAAGAACATGAACTTAAGGAAGCTGCAGGTGGAGATAACATGATTTACCTATTGAAAATAAACTACTACCCACCTTGTCCAAGTCCTGATCTTGTCTTAGGTGTGCCACCTCACACTGACATGTCTCATGTCACCATTCTTGTCCCTAATGAAGTGCAAGGCCTTCAAGCCTCTAGAGATGGGCAATGGTATGATGTTAAGTATGTCCCAAATGCTCTTGTCATTCACATTGGTGACCAAATGGAGGTGTGCATTTAATTCGCTCCAAACTTTTTCATCTTTTAATCTTTGCATAGATTTGCATCAGACAATATATGATCAGAGCATGTACTTATAAGTGGGATCAATCCTTACTTATATGTCGGTTTTGCATGGTTAAGTTATGCTTAACAACATTTCTTGTTTGATGATAAAGTAATAATATTTATTTTTAATTTTTTGGTTACATAGATACTAAGCAATGGGAAATATAAGGCTGTGTTGCACAGAACAACAGTGAACAAAGATGAGACAAGAATGTCTTGGCCAGTTTTCATTGAGCCACAAGGAGAGTTTGAAGTTGGTCCTCATCCAAAGTTGATTAACAAAGACAACCCACCAAAGTTTAAGACCAAGAAATATAAGGATTATGCTTATTGTAAGCTTAATAAGATCCCCCAGTAATGGAAGAAGGCTTTGCAGCATAATAATTTAGTGGACATTTCATGTCACACTAGGAATATATTGTTGCTTGTGTTGGTTATTTTTAACAACTTATCATGTGGCATGTATGAATAATATAAAATATGTAGCTAATGTTGGAGGCTGTTTGTGCTATGTTTTTGTTATTATAAATTTCACTAGTCTTTTTTATTTTTATTTTGAAAGAAATGAAGTTCTGATACCATGAAACTAAAACAACTATAGCGTAATAATGAAGTTTTGAAAAGAAAAGAAACAATACAATAGATTATTTGGCATAACAAAATTGCCAAAAAAGAAATGTAAGTATTACATTTACAAATATGATAACGAATATTCGCAAACAATTTATTAATATTTTTTATTTATTTAACAAGCCTTTACCATTTCTCTGGTTGCTCTTATACTTAATTTTCTTTCTCCACTTAGTACATCTCCCTAATCTAAAATATGCTCTCTATTTAATCTTCCACCCACTACTATCCATGAAGCTACTTTTTTCATACATCAAAACCATAAATAATCTCTTTCACTTAATTTAGTTTTTGATTTTTACATGTAACAATTAACTAGAGAAAAACTTCAAAAGTCATTGTTAATGAAATAACTTAGAAAGGAAGAAATTCATTGTAATTAATCATTCAACCATCATAATACACAAGTCATAATGATCTTCCTTATATAGTGATCAAAGGAAAATAGTTTAGTAACAAACTAATGAACTACACACACAAAGTGAGGGGGAGAGGTCTAAATGGTATTTATACAAATATATTGAATGAGGTACAACTGATAAAAAAAAATCCTATAACTGTAATCGATTATAGACAGAATGTAATCAATAACTAAACACTTTTCTTTCTACTGTAACCAGTTACAGATAAGGTGTAACCGGTTACTCTAACATTTTGATTCTTTTTTAAAGAGGATGTAACTGGTTATAACCCCTACAGTAACCAGTTACAGGCACATGAATTACACCTTTTCACTTAACACACCACCTTAATTTATTTCTTTCAAGTCTTCCATGTCCATATGCTTTTTCAATCTACTGAATACTTCAATCGACCTTCCTTTGGTATAAAAAATCAGTCACCTGGTCTTCAATTCTACAATACCTTAACCTCTATGTTCCTTCACTGACAAGTTTTCAAAAGTTGTGAAATTTCATCTCAATATGCTTGCTTCTCCCAAGTGCAATGAGATTCTTAGCAAGAGTTATAGCAAAAACGTTATCAATCATGAGTGAGGTTGTAACACTCATGATTGATAACGTATCCGCTATAAATCTTGCTAAGAATCTCATTGCACTTGGGACAAGCAAGCATATTGAGATGAAATTTCATTGCACTGACAACTTTGTTCAACAAAGCAAGCATATTGAGATGAGATTTCATTGCACTGATAGCTTTTCCAGATCCTTAATTGAAATCTCTTCATTGCCAATTCTCCTCAGATTCTCATCTCATACCTTTGCACGCACATAACGAAGCTGTAATATACTCGACATTACAAGAAGTGAATGTCGTTACTGGTTCCTTCTTTAAACACTACGTGTTTGGTGTTTCTTCAAACATAAAGATGTATTCAACTGTATATTTTCTATCATCCCTATCTTTGTATTAGTTGGAATCAATATATCCGAGTAAATCCACTAAGGCGCTCATACCAAGCTCGATGAGCTTGTTTGAGATAGTAGAGGGGTCTTTTTAGTTAAAAAACATAGTTTAGATTTTTGTGATCCTCAAACTCAGGAGGTTGAAATACATATACTTCTTCATTTGTATAATCGTTAAGAAAAGCTGATTTAACATTCATTTAATATAATTTAAGATCCAAGCAACATTCGAACTCCAAAAGGAGGCTAATAGCTCTGAGACGGGCTACATGAGAATATGTCTCCTTGTAGTCTATTCCTTCAACTTGACTATAACATTTTTCCACTAGCCTAACTTTACTTCTGGTAATTATTCCATTATCATCTAGTTTGTTCCTAAACACCCATCTAATGTCAATGACGATTCTATCAGATGGACGCAGGACAAGGTCCAAAGTGTCATTACGTTTAAATTTGATAAATTTTTCTTGCATAGAAAGTAACCATCCCCCGTCGCGTAAGGCATCCGATAATTTTGATTTTGGGTTAGAAGAAGAGTTGGATATAATATGTAACACTTTTTATGTCCTACATATTGAATTAGAACAAATTACTAAGGTGACAGAAGAAGAGGAAGATTATTTTGCTGAATAAATTATGAATTATATGCCTCTATGTTATTATGTTATGAATAATTAGTGTGTAGAAGAAGAAACAGTCATCTTCGACAGTCCCGATGAAGGAATGAAACAACACCTGAAGCCCCTATTTATATGGACTAAGGTTGATGGTGTAAGGGTTAATAAAGTCTTAGTAGACGGGGGGATGTAATAAATTTAATGCCACATTTATTATTGAGGAGAATTGGTAAGTATGATACATATTTAAGTCCTCATACTATGGTTTGTAGAATTATGAAGGAAAAATGAGCAAGTTCTTGGGAGTTATTCGAGTTCACGTTGTTGTCAGTAAAATTGTAAGACCACCGTTATTTGTGGTCATTTAGTCCAAAGAAAATTATAATTATTTTCAACCCACTTGCATCCAAAGATAGAAATCTGAAACTTTTCATAATCAAACACCCAAATGCGCTCGATAACACCAAAATACGACAGATTCGCATATTCGGGGTTTAAGTCCTTCACACTTGAAATGTGCATTGCTTCGGCAAGCAGGATGACACCATTATTTTGCATTGTACTCTTATCATCTTGTTCTTTGGTATAAAATGTGTATCCATTAATTGCGTATGCGGTATAAGAAAACACATGCAAACTTAGACCATATGCTAAACATCTCAACCTTTCTGTTATTGAAGCGGGATCAGAATAAAACTTTGAAAAAATATGATCCTTGAACCATGTTATAAAACTTCGATTGTGCTCACGTACTATCCAATTTTCATTTCGATTCAGATTTAAACCTCGAAGAACGTCCTTGTGCATTTCAACATACGGCTCAACCTCAATGTCATTGTGCAGAACATACAAATGCACTTGCTCCCGTTCATCCCTTGAAACTGTCACAATTTTATTTCCAATTAACTGTTTACCTACTATTTTTTCAACAACATTAGATTTTGGGAGGCCAATGGATTGAACGTTGGACAAATATTCAGTACAAAACTCAATAGCTTCTTCAACAATGTATCGTTCAACAATACATCCCTCTGGTCGGCTTCGGTTTTTCACATACCCTTTCAATATTTTCATATAACGTTCAACAGGGTACATCCATCTCATATAAGTTGGTCCACACAATTGTGTCTCTTTCACAAGATGGACAACTAGATGTACCATTATGTCAAAAAATGATGGAGGAAAATACATTTCAAGCTGACACAAAGTAATAACTATTTCTTTTTGCAATGATGGTAAGATCGCAGGATCGATCACCTTACTACAAATTGACCTGAAGAAAAAACACAATTTAGTTATTGCGCCTCTCACTTTTTTTGGAAAAATAGAACATATACCTATTGGTAGAAAGTGTTCCATTATAACATGGCAATCATGTGTCTTTAAACTCTTTAACTTGAGGTCTTTCATAGAAACAAGTCTTCTAATATCTGAAGAGTATCCTTCTGGAACTTTAACTTCACTCAGAAACTTACACAATATCTTTTTCTCCTTTCTAGATAAAGTATAAGCAGCAGGTGGTAGATATGTGCGATTTCCTTTCTTCAAGGGTTCTAATTCATTTCTTATTCCCATTGATACCAAGACCTTTCTTGCTTTAAGGCCATCCTTAGACTTTCCTTGTATATTGAGTAACGTACCAATAACACTTTCAAATACATTTTTTTCAATATGCATAACATCAAGAAAATTAAATAATTCTTGCAATAAAATTAATTAATTCGCAATTAATATGAACTCATATACAATTTTTACTAACATATTAGTTATTTAAAATTTTATATAATTTTATATTTATCTAAAAATAATTTTATATAACTTGAGTTTATATTTATCTAAAGTTTTATACAATTTTTACTAACATATTAATTTATACTATTTTGGTAAATTAAATGTTACTAAATTAGCAAGACGGTACAAAATGAAAATCTTCCCACATAATATTATTAATACTCAATATACCTGAGAAAAATTGACTATAACAGGAAGAATATGTGCCACACAATCTTGAGGCTCCAACAATTTTTCAAGAGCTGCACAATCCTCAACAGCAAGAAGCCGAACAGAATCTTGATCTACAAGAACAAGAGTCAATAAGTAATTATTTTCACTTCAATAAATGAGCATAACAAACAAAAATTATATTCACTTCAAGATTAACAGAAACTTAAAGCTTTCATCTGAATCACAAATAGTGTGAAGCTTCTAAGGCAACATAATCTAAAAAACCATTGAACAAATAAAATTTATCAGAATGCCAATTTCAAATAAGATTTGTAGGCAACAATAATAAAAATTATTAGTAAAAAGAACTCATATAAGGTGTGGCATTTCAACAAACACCTTGTATACGGCTAGATATAATGAAAGTTAACATAAGTAAATTCATTGTGGCATTTCAACAAACACCTTGTATACAAAACTCAAGCCAATATCAAAAGAGTAGTTCTCATCAATGGTATAAATAAAAATAAGTCAATAACTCAGAAAAGAAGTAACACTAACATCATATAATCCAGAAAAATGAAATACTAAGACAATAATCCAGAAAAATGAAAAATGAAAAACTTCAAATACCGTAACAATGGAGGAAATGTGCTACAGAGGCTGTCGAAATTGGACGGTCAAATGAAGGAGATATGCAACACAGGCTGAACGGAGGTGAGCGACGGAGGAACGGCAGTTGGACGGAGGAGGGCGACGGCCGGTCGTGATAGGGTTCTGGTTCGCAGAGAAGAGAAAGAAAT